GTAACATACACCTTTGTTTACGTTTGTGTGTTGCTCGGCAACCACTTTGTTGCAACAACAACTGTTTCTGAGGAACTACATTGTTTGGCGGAAGAATAATGTTTTTATTAATATCATTACACTTTATTTGCTCTGTTTTATTTTGTGAAACCTTACTACATATATGGAATAACCGTTTTATAAAAGCAATAAGCCCCGTGAAGCCGTGGTCTACAGTGAATTAATAACAGTGAATTTATACGCTTCGTGTCGTGCCTAACAACGCCCCTTAGCTGTTATAAATTCACTGTAAACCACGGCTTCTTGGGGCTTATTGCTTTAATAGACTTATTTTTGATTTAAAAAAAACTAATAAAAATGACAAAAACATTAAAATTATTAAAACTTTAAAATTAAAACTGAAAATATAAACAAACTTGAATATTGACAAAAACTATAACAGGTTATTGCAGCTATTGTTAGATATTTTTGTCTATACATTCATCAGTTCTTGCATTACTATTGTATCTTACTTTAATGTACTGTACTTCTATTCAGTGTTCTAAAATGCCACAGTTTGCAGTGTTATTATGCTTTAACACAGTGCTTCATCTGTGTTTCTCCTTCACTAGTTTTGCCGATCTCTTCTCTGGAGCCGGTGATTCTGCAGGAAGGCCAGTCGTTCCGCGTGGCTGCCTCCTGTCGCTCGGTTGGACACCCTTCGCCACGTTTGTCCTGGGACACGGACATTCCCGGGCAGTCGCAGAACCGCACTGGAGAAGATGGAGTCGTAACCTCGCAGTTTTCCGTGCATCCGCTGCGCAGCATGAACAAGCGGCGCCTGGACTGTCTGGTGTGGCATCCCGCTCTCGACGGCCCGCATAGAATCAGCAACGAGCTCGTCGTGCACTGTGAGTTATCCTTAAACACATCACCCAAAAATAAAGAAGCTGTGTGACTTCATTTATTCTGCATGACACAAAAAGAAACATTTTGCATAATGTTCATGCTGCTCTTTTCTTTGAGACACTATTATAGTTTGTTAATATTTAGAATTAAAGGTACGATATGTAAGTTTTTTTTTATTAAAATATCCAAAAACCACTAGAACAGTGTTATATAGTTTGTTGACATGTGTACTTAGATTATCCCAAATGTTTCCAAGAATGTTTAAATCCAGAGTAATATGAATTTAACTAGTGTAAAGGACCGCGTCATTGCGTCGCCTGTCAATGACGTCATACACCCTCGATTTCTGGTTTTAAAAAACTAATAAAAATGACAAAAACATTAAAATTATAAATAATAAAAATATAAACAAACTTGAATATTGACAAAAACTATAACAGGTTATTGCAGCTATTGTTAGATATTTTTGTCTATACATTCATCAGTTCTTGCATTACTATTGTATCTTACTTTAATGTACTGTACTTCTATTCAGTGTTCTAAAATGCCACAGTTTGCAGTGTTATTATGCTTTAACACAGTGCTTCATCTGTGTTTCTCCTTCACTAGTTTTGCCGATCTCTTCTCTGGAGCCGGTGATTCTGCAGGAAGGCCAGTCGTTCCGCGTGGCTGCCTCCTGTCGCTCGGTTGGACACCCTTCGCCACGTTTGTCCTGGGACACGGACATTCCCGGGCAGTCGCAGAACCGCACTGGAGAAGATGGAGTCGTAACCTCGCAGTTTTCCGTGCATCCGCTGCGCAGCATGAACAAGCGGCGCCTGGACTGTCTGGTGTGGCATCCCGCTCTCGACGGCCCGCATAGAATCAGCAACGAGCTCGTCGTGCACTGTGAGTTATCCTTAAACACATCACCCAAAAATAAAGAAGCTGTGTGACTTCATTTATTCTGCATGACACAAAAAGAAACATTTTGCATAATGTTCATGCTGCTCTTTTCTTTGAGACACTATTATAGTTTGTTAATATTTAGAATTAAAGGTACGATATGTAAGTTTTTTTTTATTAAAATATCCAAAAACCACTAGAACAGTGTTATATAGTTTGTTGACATGTGTACTTAGATTATCCCAAATGTTTCCAAGAATGTTTAAATCCAGAGTAATATGAATTTAACTAGTGTAAAGGACCGCGTCATTGCGTCGCCTGTCAATGACGTCATACACCCTCGATTTCTGGTTTTATTTTGTAGAAAACATGGAAACGCCAAAGGCGCTTTAATATGTTATGCGTTTTATTAGACAGGTGACGAACACACAGAGTAGCATTCTAACCAGGGGTGCACATAAGTTTTTCAGCCTGGTTCTCATAGGAGAACCTGGAGATTTATTTTGGTCCTCACACTGCACATAGTGCATAACCCATTAAATACAAGTATAAAAAAATAAATTAATTGTAGTGAAAATATTGGTGCACTTTATTTGTTTAGTTTTTTTAATAAAATAATAAAGTGTGATAATACTATTATATTTTAAAATAAAAAGGGAGTATTAAATACAAATACAACTATTTTATAGTAAACTTAAAAATAAAATGCTAATATTTTCTTTTTTTAAAGGTGAATTTTCATCATTTTCAAACTTAAAATCAGCATGCTTTTATTTTGACGTGTTGCCAGCAAGTAAGTATATGCTCTTCCGGGTTTAGCGCTGCCGTGAATGAAATGTCACAGTTTTGCATTGTGCTTTGAAAACGGGTAGCCTAGATTTATTTATCTATTCAGTTTGAATAGAAATCTTATACAGTATTACAGTTTGTCGATCTAAAATGGTAATTGTGCATTAACAGCTGTCAACCATGTCGGTACGCAAATGCGCTGTCAGAACTTCTTTACACATCGCATTTTTTATTTTGGTTGCGCATGCGCACCTGCGTACCACTTATGTGCACCCCTGATTATAACAGCACTTTCAACACACTCAAATGTATCTAGTATGATAAAACCGAGCTGCTTTACCCCACATTCGCATGAGCGGAAGGAGCGAAAGCGGTCGACTGTGGCATAATAAAAGCTCGGCTGTTTTCCGCTTCCACAGCTTTCAGCCCCACCCTGCTTCATACTACAGTGACGTTAATAAATCTTTAATTCGTTAGCTCATCCATGAACATGATTTCTGCCCATGATTCCACACTCAGTCACGGCGTCATCAAACTACGCCTTTGTTTCTTTGTTTGTTTTGAATATGCGCCCTCTAGCAGTGAAAATTACATACTGTGCCTTTAATGTTTATTTTTATTTTTCATTTTAATTTGTAGTTAAAATTTTAGTGATTTTGATGTGAGTTTTTGTCATTTTTATTAGATTTTTTTAAGGAATTATTTAAATTTTAATGCTCATTTTATTTCAAGTAATGAACTTTTTATGGTTTTAGTTAATGATAATATACCTGTTACAGTGTTATTTTTGTATCAGTGAAATACTGTTATAGTTATTATTAGTACTTTGCATTATTTTTATTTTTATATTTTCTGTTTTTATTGTAATCTTCATTAAAGTTTTAGTGTTTTTTTTGTTTGTGGTATTTTTATTAGTTTTTTCATATGTCTATTAGTGGTTCAACGGATCACAAATCTCACGGTTCGGATCACATTACGGTTTTTGACCCACGGATCGGATCATTTTTCGGATCAGCAAGAAAATAAAAATATTTCAATTTAACTTGCTTTCCATTTATTACTTAAAGCGAAGTACTTCTTTGATACCACAGCATATGTATAGTTTTAGTTGATAATGAGCCTGTGTTTGTGCTTCAGTTCCTCCTGATGCATTGATTGCTGATTCTGGTTCCTGGAGAATCGGACACTCAGGATCTGAGCTCAGATGTGTGGTTAAAGGAAACCCGTTGCCGCAAAACGTCACGTGGAGCAGGTAACACAGAATGATCTGGACCACACTGCAGTTTATTCTGACCAAAAACCACCCACTTGCACAGGAGCATTCAGTCTGACTGATGTGTGAAGTGACTAACCACAGTTGGCTTGTTTTAACCTGTTGTTTTGGGGCAGATGAACATCTGAAATAGATTGAACCACAATAATAGACTGCTATGGAAAAACAGACATTCAAATAAAACACAAAAAAACCTGCGGAACCTGTATGTAGAATTTGTGATCAGAATTTCTGTCCATCCAAAAGTATTTTACAGAATTAAAAATGCTCATACAGTTCTGATCATTAAAATCATTTTACTAGATGTCTGAATAGCCATTAAGTTCCCTAAATATTACTGATTGTATTAAGCGTTGTTAATTTAGTGCATATAAATAAATTATTTGGCTAATTATAGACCGATATCTAATCTCCCATTTATTAGTAAAGTACTTGAAAAGGTGGTCGCAACACAAATAAAATCTTTTCTTGAAGAAAATCAAATTATGGAAGAGTCTCAGTCTGGCTATAGAAAGTACAACAGTACCGAAACTGCTCTTATATAAATAACAAATGATCTTAGAGTTCATCTCGATAAAGTTTCAGTTCTTATCCTTTTAGACTTGAGTGCGGCATTCGACACAATCGACCATGATATTTTAATAAATCGTTTAGAAAAATTGGTAGGCCTTTCTGACAACATATTACATTGGTTTAAAACCTATATTAAAGGGGTCCTATTATGCTCTTTTACAAAGTCTTGATTTTGTTTTGGGGGTGTACTGGAACAGGCTCTCATACTAGGTTGTTCGAAAAACACATTATTTTTCACATATTTTACATTATTACAACACCTCTCTCCCCAGTCTGGCATGAACGGCTTGAATAGTTCCTGTATCAAATGAAGGCCCGCCTTCTGAAATACAAAATGTGCTGTGATTGGTTAGCTGGGCCAGTGTGTGTTGTGATTGGTTAGCTGGGCCAGTGTGTGTTGTGATTGGTTAGCTGGGCCAGTGTGTGTTGTGATTGGTTAGCTGGGCCAGTGTGTGTTGTGATTGGTTAGCTGGGCCAGTGTGTGTTGTGCAGATCTTTTTTATGCTCAAACAGCAACATTACAGACTAACTAAAGTTGAAAAAGTGAAAAAGCATAATAGGACCCCTTTAAGGGGAGAAATTTCACTGTTCAACTTGGAGATTATGTGTCTGAGAAACATAAATTCCATTATGGAGTCCCACAAGGAAGCTGTCTTGGTCCTTTGTTGTTTTCATTATACATGCTGACACTTGGTGACACCATCAGAGAAAACAATGTAAGTTTCCACAGTTATGCTGATGATACACCAAATGACATGGGGGCTATTAACTCCATTACAACCTGCCTCATGGCAGTGAATAAATGGAGGAGTAATATATTTTTTTAAGTTAAATGAGGATAAAACTGATATTCTGTTGGTAGGTCCTAAGACAAAAAAAAAGAAATGGTGTATAAGAATTTGGTCAAATTGACTCCTTGGGTTCGCTCAGAGGTCACAAGTCTTGGTGTAATTTTAGACTGATTTAAAATTCTCACATCAATAAGGTAACAAAATCATAATTTTTCCGTTTAAGGAACATTGCTAAAATTCGACCTCTTTTAAACCGGAAAGATGCAGGAAAAATTCATTCATGCCTTTATTTCGAGTAGACTTGACTATTGTAATGCACTTTTTACTGGTCTTCCACAAAAATCAATTAATAGACTTCAGCTTATCCAAAACTCAGCTGCTCGGCTAGTGACTAGAACTAAAAAAAGAAAACATATAACACCAGTTTTAGCTACATTGCACTGGCTTCCTATAAAATTTAGAATAGATTATAAAGTCCTCCTTATTGCGTACAAAGCCCGTAATGGGCAAGGACCTAATTATATTGCCAGTTCTCTTGTTAATTATACTCCATCAAGAACTTTAAGATCTTCCAATACAGGTTTACTAGAGGTTCCTAGTTCTGTAAGAAATAAAATTGGTGATGCAGCCTTCGTAAATTATGTTCCTAAATTATGGAATACATTACCTTCAGATATTAGGGAAGCTAGCACAATCAGTATTTTTAAAACTAAGATAAAAACTTATTTTTTTAACTTGTCTGTTTTATTGAATGTGCTGTATTGTTTTACATATATTGTATACATATTGTAAGCTTGATGTATTTGTTTTATTGGATGTAATGTTGTTGTTTATTTAACCGTTTATTCTTGATTATGTAAAGCACTTTGAGCCGCATTTTATGTTTGAAAGGTGCTATATAAATAAATGTATTATTATTATTATTATTATTATTATTATTATTATAAATGGAAATTATTACATCAAACTCTTCTCTAGGGAAAACAGTTAGTGGGGTAAATATGCTTTAGTATTTGGTATTTAATATTTATCTTTACTATTTCAGTATTGCTATTTATTTTAGTATTTAGTATAGATTTATACTATTTTGCTTCTTTTTTTGTATTTTTTAGTATTTGTTTTTTTATTTTTTACTATTTTAGTATTCATATTTATTTTAGTATGTTGTATTTATTTTTACCATTTAACTTTTTTTAGTAATAGTATTTAGAGTTTGCTTTAATAATTAATATTTATTTTTACTATTTTTATTACTAGTATTTAAAGTTCGTTTTATTGTTTATTTTTTACTATTTTAGTATTAGTATTTATTTTAGTATGTTGAATTTATTTTTTGCTGTTTTACTATTTAATTATTTTAGTATTAGCATTTGTTTTAATGTTTTTTTTGTTGCTATTTTAATATTTTAGTAATAGAATTTAGTATTTATTTTAATATTTATTTTTTGCTATTTTAATATTTTAGTATTAGTGTTTATTTTAGTATTTTCAATTTATTATTTTACTATTTTTATTATAATTATTTAGTATTTATTTGTTAGTATTTATGATATTTTTAGCTATACTGTATATTACCCAGTCCTGACTGACTTCTGAAGATTAACACAGCCAGTGAGTTCAGTGGTTGTGATTTTGGCAAATACTCTCATGTTTGTGTGTCGTATGCATCAGATGGTCGGTCAGTCTGTAGGTGTGACTGTAAACCACAGGCCTGTTTATTATTTGATTACGCTGCTGTCTGTCAGATCACCCACCGCAGTTATTTAAACTCAGCACGCTTTAGTTGCATAAACGAGTGTCGAATTGTACTAGTGGCATGGCAAAATCCCTACAAAAACACTAGTTTTCCACCACCACTTTCTTTGTGTTCCTCTTTATTTTCCTCTTCCTTTTGTTCTCTTTAGCACAATCACAAAGGCCTCTGAACTGCAGCAATGCATATTCACATGCTCCTTTCAGGATAAAATAAAAGCTTCAGTGTTGCATTGCAACCTGAGAGCAAAGAGCAAAAAGGGCTCTTTTCATGCACGGGGCAGTAAAGAAAGAGAACGAGAGAGAGAGAAAAAGAGCAGGATGCTAAATGATGAGGGTGGGGTGTATCGAGACACACGCTAAGCCCTAAATAACCCTCCTGTCCTGTAATGATTGTTTTAACCGGCACAGAAACACAGGCTTTGCACTGGATTAAAGATGCAGCGCATCAACTGCAATTAACAGCGTTTAATGCATCCAGTGTGCGTCGTCATGCATGCTTCTGCAGAGTCCTCAGATCATGCGTGTTGGTGCTTTATTAAGGTTGCATGGTGTGTTGGTCATATTTGCATGCATACAGTTGCTGAGGAGGTGTTTTCATTCAGGTAGTGCTGGAGAATGAACTGGTAACAGCGTGCAGGAGTCACATGATACTCAGATGATAATTACAGCGAAGGTTCGAAACCTGAGATGCGTTTAATGTGGTGTTTGGCATCGCTGCAGTCGTGTGATGTTGTGGGGTATCGGCTGGAGGAATGCTGTGTGAGTGTGTGTGTGTGAGTGAGTGTGTGTGTGAGTGTGTGTCGGTATCGGGGTGTGTCCTGATTCACACCTGTCTGAGGGGTTAAAGCCACCTAAAGCAGATTAAACACAGATACTGATGGAGGAAGGGTGAAAAACGACTCTCATGCACATTTAAACCGAAGCACGAGGATTTCAAAAAGTGATTTTCCTCCTCTGTGTTTGTTTTGCTTTTTTCAGAACAAATATCTGAACATCCTTAAATCATGATTTAGATGCAAAGTCATACGCATAAGATATGAAGTCTTATTTTCTGAAAAAAAAATCTAAATAGTTATTTACGGCATTTATTTGATCAAAGATACAGTAAAAATAGTGAAATATTATTGTAATTTAAAACAACTGTTTTCTATGTGAATATGTGTTAAACTGTAATTTATTTCTGTGATGCAAAGCTGTATTTTCAGCATCATTACTCCAGTCTTCAGTGTCACATGATCTTCAGAAATCATTCTAATATTCAAAAGTTTGTGGTCAATAAGAAATTAACACTTGTATTCATCAAGGATGCATTAAATTGATCAAAAGTGACAGTAAATACATTTATAATGTTACAGAAGATTTCTATTTCAATTAAATGCTGTTCTTTTAAACTTTCTATTTATCTGTGAATCCTAAAAAATAAAATGCATCACAGTTTCCACAAAAATATTGTGCAGCACAACTGTTTTTGCTTTAAACTCTCTTATTTGAACAGTACAGATAATTGCATCCACTGGTGTTTGTCTGTGTGTGTGTGTGTGTGTGTGTGTGTCTGTGTGTGTGTGTTCAGAAAGGACAGTCGTCTGCCAGCAGGAGTGCTGGTTAAAGAGGACACACTGGTGTTTGTTCGGCCTCTGAACGTGACGGATGAAGGCGTGTACGTCTGCCAGACAGCTAACAGCGCGGGAATCGCTAAAGCCGAGTTTAAAGTGGAGATCGGAAGTAAGTGTTTAATCTACTACAGAAACGAATGACACAAGACCCGATCGTCACACTGACCGATGAACACAACCGCATGGGTTTTCCCACAAAACTTTCCTTCTGTGGGAGTTGAATCATGTTAATGATCATTTCAGAATTAATTCTCTCATTTATTTATACACTGGTCAGGCGCATTCTGGAAAAACCCTGTTTAAGAGATTTGTTTTCATGTTATACATAAATTAAAACAGAGAATAACATTTATTATTTTATATTTAAATATAATATTTTTGTAAATAATTTTAAATATTTTTAAATAATTAAAAAAATATTTTTATATGTATTTAAATGTGTGTGTGTGTGTGTGTGTATATATATATACTGCATATATATACTGCCGTTCAAAAGTTTGGGATCATGTATTTTAAAGAAGTCTCTTCTGCTCATCAAGGCTGCATTTATTCAACAGTTGTGCTGCCAAATATTTTTTGGGAAACTGCGATAATTTTTTCAGGATTCTTTGATGAATAAAAAGTTAAAAAGAACAGCATTTATTCAAAATATAA